TTGCTACTATCCTTCAAACATTTAGGTTTTAACCATTTATTAATAGTTTAAAATATAATAAAATTTAGTATGATAACTTATTATTTTATATATTTTAATAAGTACGTCAGAATGAGTATGTTGTTTCATTGTTACATTAATAAGTCTGTTACAATGAATGACGATAGAACATTATTTCACCCACATGTTGACATTTTATTTTCACAGAAGTTATTAGAAACATTAAAGTAGAAACTTTACTTGCATTTAATATGCTTTCTGTGTATATAAAATCGCTTTTGTTAATTAAATTTAATGCAGACACCAAAATGGGAGCTTTGTTTTGTAAAGTAGTTACAGTAGTGAGGTATTGGGGAGATAATGTGCTTAATTGCGATCAAAACAATGTCACAATGCACAATAATAATGGTTGTCCTAAAATAGTCTTCATTATGTTGTATTTTTCAAATGTGACCATGACATGTTTTTGTGAGATTCATGCTACTACGCTGAAGTTCTTAGAGTTTCTAAGAATAAGCGTTTGGAGAGATGAAGCAATATCTGTGGTGTTTTTTACAGGCTATAAAAACAAATAGGTGTGGTTATGTGCATGATATGACTGGTTCACTAACCTGTTTTTCTGGTCAAGAGTCAGCTTGCCATTAGAAATGATTAATCGTGTATTTCTGTTCTTGAGCGTTCAAAGGTTTTGCAACACTGTGATAAGTGTTAAAAATAAGGACATTTAAAGGTGATGGTCTTAGATGGCTTATTATTGCAACCTAAATCCAAAACCATAAAAATTGCATTATTTGTCATAAACATTAACTGAAATAAAATATTTAAAAAGTGCATATTTTATTTCAGCTAGTTGCCAAGGCAACCTTTCTCATTTTCGTTAAGCTTAAGTTGAAGTGATAAAATAACTCAAACTTATCTCTTTTTTTTTCACATAAAAAATGACAAAAACTCAAAACAAAATGACTAAAATTTTGTAAAGATGGTGCCGAGATGCTGAGCCACAATCTTGATTATCTGTTTGTTCAAACAATGGAAGATGGGGGAGTGTCAGAAAACCAGGATTGTCCTTATTTTTTTTAGTCTAATTGGTGCCACTAGTGGCTATTAAACAGAAATGTCTTAACAGAGCTTTTGTCGATGTACAGAAGCGCAGTATTATGGGTAATTAACCCTGTATACTCTGTCCATTATTGGCTCTTATGTTTCCCTCTTGACTCTTTTCTGTAGGACTGGGCTGTTTTGCCTTCCAGACGTTGTTGGAAAATCCGAAGAGAGCCTCATATTGAGACCGGACTGTGAAGTCTCGAGTGAAGAGGCTTCCCCTAAACCCGTTAGTCAGCCTACACAGCAACCAAAAGATGAGAACACGGAGCCTGAGGTGGCTCCTCCGCTCGCTCCCGTACCTATCCCGGTGCAACCGGGCCAGCCCACATATCCGCCGTACTTTGAAGGCGCCCCGTTTCCGCAGCCCATGTGGGTCCGGCACACATACAACCAGTGGGTACCGCAACCGCCGCCGCATCCAATCAAGAGGAAGAAGAGACGAAGTCGAGAACCTGGAAGGATGACCATGAGCACAATCCGACTGAGACCTCGGCAGGTGCTGTGCGAGAAATGCAAAAACACACTAAACAGCGACGAGGACAGCAAAGATGGACCAACGGTGACCAAGACATCCAGGAAGGAGAACGCGCCTCAAGCCAACGAGGAGGACACTAAATCAACCCCAGCCAAGAGGAAGGACGACGGAGACAACAAAGAGTCAAAGAGACGAGAGGAATCGACGGTCTATGACACCAAGTGCTTCCGGAAGGACAAGAAGGACGATGAGAAGTCTCCCAAAGGGGACATCATTCCCCATAGTCCCGTGATTAAAATCTCTTATAGCACTCCACAAGGTAAAGGCGAAGTGATGAAGATCCCCTCGAGGGTTCACGGTTCTGTCAAACCCTTCTGTCCGAAGCAGCTGTTACAGAACGGCCACAGAGAACGAGACGCTTCCAAGGAATCCCAGAAAGTCGTGAAACCTCCGGTAGACGTCATCCGAACGGGTCTTACCATTTCCATTCCCAAACTCAAGCTCCCAAAGTTGAGTAATCCGGATGCCCCTTCGCCCAAGATACACTTGAGATCCCGGGCCGACGGAGCGGAGCAGGTGTCCGCTTACGAGGCAGAACTAGTGGACGGCGTTCGGCGGAAAAGTCCTAGAGTTCCCAACTCTCAGTCTGAAGATGGTGCGG